ACAAACACAAAACACAAACACAAACACACATGCACGCAAGTTGCACATGCATGCGCACGCATACACACAAACGCACGCGTACGCACTGGCAAGCGCAGAGACACACACGAACACACACAAACACATACAAACACACACAAACACACACACACACACACACGGACACACACGAACAGACCACCTTGGAGATGCGCTCCTCTGTGCGACACATGGGAACAAGCTGGCGCAAGGTCTTGAAGCCTGCGTTGATGAACTGCATGCGCTTGCGCTCGTTGCCGTTCGCCGCCAGCCGCCTCCGCGACGACGGTTGCGGCGCACTGCCGTCGATTGGCCCATCCCCAAGCCCAGCGGCCTCATACTGTGGCTCTGCAGCATCACATCTCTGTGCCCTGCTGCGTTATTGAGACAGAGCAAGCGACAGTGAGGGGGCGAGACAGACCGTGAGAGTGAGAGCGAGTGGGTGAGACAGAGTCAAAGGGAAATCGCGCGCAAAACTTGGTGGCAGTGGTGCATGCATGCGTTGTTGAGTATGTGTGCACGTGTTGTGCTTGATGTGACCAGCAAGCGTGACCGTGCATGTATCTGTGTGCCGACGCAAACAGCCCAGCCCATTCGCACCTGTGACTTGCATCGCCCTGAGCGCTGTCTGCCATCGTCACTGTCAAAGGGAGTGGAATTGCAGGTGGGGGAGGGGGGGAGAGGTCAGCCACACGGCCTTGTATGTCTTCTTCTATGCCTTCTTGCTTGCTTGTAGGTGTGGTGACACTTGTTTGATTGCTTGCAGTGTTCGGCTGCGCACACTGCGCTGCACTCGCTTGCTTGGCGCCAAAATGCTTTGGCGGCAAGTCCAGGAAATATGGTGGAAGACGTCACGAATTCGTGCACAGACATGTTTGGTGGATGATTTCTGTGAATTTTCTGCACACACGTGTTGTTGAGGCGAGCAAGGACACCCACCAAGACGACGACGACATCCACACGCATCCACACACACACACACACACACACACACACACACACACACACACACACACACACACACACACACACACACACACACACACACACACACACACACACACACACACACACACACGCACGCATCCACACACGCACGCATCCACACATCCACGCATCCAAACGCATCCCCCAACAACAGAGCACCATGGGCAAGGGTAGGCAGCAGAAGAAGCTGCAATCGCAGCAGCAAGAGCCGCAACAGCCACAACAGCAGCAGCAGAAGAAGAACAAGAAGAACAAGAAGGGCAAGGGGCTGAAGGTGCCTGACGTGGAGAAGTTTTTGGAGAAGGAGAGGGAGGCTGAGCTCAAGAAACAACAAGAGCAGCAAGAAGACAAGGCGCAGCACACGGACAAAGGCAAGGCAGAAGCCGGAGCGAAGAAAGGCAAGAAGAGCAAGAAGAGCAAAGGTGATGACAAGGCCAATCAGGGGAAGAAGAAGCAGCAGCAGGCAGCAAAGGGCAAGCAGGATGACGGCAAGCGCAGGGCTGGCGATGCCGATGACGCTGATACGACCAATGGCGACAACACCACGAAGAAGGCCAAGAAGGCCGAGAACGGGAAAGGTGGCAATGATGACGAGTCGGTCAAGCAGGCCATTGAGGATGCCGTGTCTTCCGCGCGACAGCTGCAGCCATATGAGGGCGGCGATGAGGCTCTCTTCACAAACCTCGCCGACAAGGTCTCCGAGCCAACCATGAAGGCAATTGAGGTATGGTGTGTGGGGGATGGGGTGTGCATGTGTGTGCATCTGTATGCGTCTGTCTGTGTGTCTGTGTTATGTGTCTGCGCTGTTCGCTGTGCCACCTCGAGACTGAGCCGTTCTGTCAGCTTGTTCTTCTTCGGCTCTTTGCCAGAGCACTCACAAAAGCAAACAAATACTCAACGCACACGCACAAGTACACACACACACACATATGTCGTTGCGGCTCTGTTGCACCCATTCATACTTCATGTCTTGTGTTCTCTTGCGTCTTTGTGACCAGGGCTTTGGGTTCACCCACATGACGGAGATCCAGTACAAGACCATCCCCTTCCTGCTGACGGGCCGGGACCTGCTTGGTGCCGCCAAGACGGGCTCGGGCAAGACGCTTGCCTTCCTCATCCCCGCCGTGGAGCGCCTGCGACAACTCAAGTTCACGCCAAAGAACGGCACCGGGTGCATCATCCTCACGCCAACCCGCGAGCTGGCACAGCAGATTTACGGCGTGCTCATCAGCCTGCTGGAGCACCACCACCAGACTCACGGCATCTCCATCGGCGGATCAGACAAGAAGGTTCTGCACATGCATGTTGGGTGTACGGGGGAGGTGTGGGTCGGTGTGTGTGTCTGTGTGTGTCTGTGTGTCTGTCTGTCTGTCTGTGTGTGTGTGTGTGTGATGTGTTTTGTGGAACTTGTGCGTGGTTTGATGTGAGTGCGTCAACCAACACAACGACGGTGGGGACAATCTACCCTTGTCGTGGCTTGAACCGCACTCCTTCGCCTGCATCACTCACACACACACAAACACACACACACACACATGCACACACACACACACATACACACACACCCTAGGCGGAGGCGCGTCGCCTGGGCAATGGTGTCAACATCCTGGTGTGCACCCCCGGGCGGCTGCTTGATCATCTCCAGAACACGAACTTCAAGTTTGATCGCCTCCAAATGCTCATCATCGACGAGGCAGACCGCATTCTCCAGGTGTCCACCCTGTTTGTTGTGGTCGTGGCCGTGATCGTTGTGTGTGTGTGTGTGTGTGTGTGTGTGTGTGTGTGTGTGTGTGTGTGTGTGTGTCCTTCACGTCTCCCCCCTGTGCGCATGCTGCATGTTGTCGCCCACCTCACCGCCCTCGTGCGTGCGTGTGTCGACCGACGTGTGCTGCTGACAGATTGGTTTCGAGGACACCATGCGCGCCATCGTCCGTCTCATCCCTCGTACGCGTACACACACGCACATGTTTGTATACATATGCACAGCTGCTTGCACGCAATGAATTGCCCACGTGCCCACTCATCTTTGCACACGTGCACTCACTCCCTCCCTCACTCTCTCTCACTAAAACACTCACACACACTCTCTCTCTCACTGAAACACACACTTACATACACACACACTCTCACTGAAACACACACACTCTCTCTCTCTCTCTCACGTGATGAGCAGAGAAGCGGCAAACGGTCCTGTTCTCGGCGACACAGACGCGCAAGGTGGAGGATCTTGCCCGCATTTCGCTGCGGGGCGAGCCGCTGTACATTGGCGTCGACGACAAGGCCGACATTGCCACTGCAGACGGCATTGAGCAGGGATACGTTGTACGTACCCCATACAGCCACCCATCCAACCATCTTTGCTTGCTTGCTTGCTTGCTTGCTTGCTTGCTTGCTTGCTTGCTTGCTTGCTTGCTTGCTTGCTTGCTTGCTGGTCGTCACAGCGACTGGTGGTGCTGCTGGTGCTGTATCCGAGTCTATGGTGGTTCGAGTACTCCAGTGCGGTACCTTACCTGACCCTCCGTAACACCATCATGTACGTGCGTGTGTGTCACAGATTTGCCCGTCGGACCAGCGGTTCCGGCTGCTGTACACATTCCTCAAGAAGAACCTGAAACGGAAGCTGATGGTGTTCTTCTCCTCGTGCGATTCCGTCGAGTTTCACCTGCAGTTCTTCAACTACGTCTCCCTCCCCGTCCTCGGCATCCATGTACGCCTTCCTTCCTCCCGTTCTCTCTTGTTGCGCCTCTGTCTGTCAGTGTGGGTGTGGGTGTGGGGGTGGTTGTGTCTGTCAGTGTGTGTGTGTGTCTGTCTGTCTGTCTGTCTGTCTGTCTGTGTGCCTGTGTGCCTGTGTGCCTGTCAGTGATATGTGCCGTTCCCTACCTGACACCAACAAACAAATTCATGCACGTACACCACATCCATTCCCTTTGTATCGGTGCGCCAACAGGGCCGCCAGAAGCAAGCCAAGCGCTCCCGCACATTCTTTGAGTTTTGCAACGCAGAGCAAGGCATCCTCCTCTGCACAGACGGTACGCCCTTTTGTGTGTGTGTGTGTGTGTGTGTGTGTGTGTGTGTGTGTGTGTGTGTGTGTGTGTGTGTGTGTGTGTGTGTGTGTGTGTGTGTGTGTGTGTTAGTGTGTGTGTGTGTGTCTGGTCTCGTCGTGGATTCATCGTGCATACATTGTGCTGTGTGTTCCCGAATACTCACATCGTTGCTGTGCGCCCTTCCTGTGCGTGTGCAGTTGCCGCTCGTGGTCTCGACATTCCCGAGGTCGATTGGATCATCCAGTACGACGCCCCAGACGATCCGAAGGTCAGTGCAGAGAGAGAGAGACACACACACACACATATGTACACACGCACGCACACGCACGCACGCACACATATGTACACGCACACACAGCACGCACACACACGCACACACAAAACACCGCCTTGCCTTACTCCTTCTCGGCCACTGCTGACCACCCTCATCTCGTTGTCTGTGTGTGTGTGTGTGTGTATGTGTGTGTATGTGTGTGTGTGTGTGTGTATGTGTGTGTGCAGGAGTACATCCATCGCGTTGGACGAACGGCCCGCGGGGCCGGGCGGAAAGGCCGCGCGCTCCTCTTCCTCCTCCCGACGGAGGTCGAGTTTCTCAAGTACCTCATGGAGAACAAGGTAATGTCTTCATGGCTATCTTCATCGCTGCTACCGGCCGTCGTTGTCGTCGTGGTCGTCGTTGTTGTGTGCACATGACACCAGCTCATGTGTTGCTGTTGTGCCACCGCCACTTGTCTTGTTCAGGTTCCTCTCAACGAATACGAGTTTCCCAAGGACAAAATCGCAAACGTGCAGTCAAAGGTGTGTGTTTGTGTGCGTGTATGTTTGTTTGTGGTTTGCTTTGTGTGTGTGTGTGTGTGTGTGTGTGTGTGTGGTTGTTTATGCATGCGTGTGTGCATTTGTCCACTTGCGGTTGTGCCTTGCCCCAGTCATGCCTTGCCTTGGTATCTGCTGCTGATTCCGTCACATCACCAACTGTGTGTGTGTGTGTGTGTGTGTGTGTGCTCTCAGTACTACCAAATTATGGAGAAGAGCTACTTCTTCCGCAAGCTTGCCATCAGCGGTTTCCGCTCGTATGTGCACGCGTATGCAGCACACTCCCTCAAGGCCGTACGTTGCATGCACACACTGACGCTCACACAGCATGTATTTGCACACCCACGCACATGTGTGCACTCACACGTTCCACACTCTACATCACACACAACAAATCAACATGCCGGGCTGTTTGTCGTCCTGTGCTTCCCAACTGCTCGCGACACTCTGCTCACAACCCCACCATACTCATTCACCACATCCCACCCACCACCACGCTACCGCCAGGTGTTCAACGTGAACGAGCTGGACCTGAACGCCGTTGCCCAGAGCTTTGGGCTGCGGGAGGCGCCCAATGTGCAGCTGAAGATTGCAAGCAGCAAGAAGCTCACACGCAATGCGCCGCCAAAGACCGCAGGTGCGAGGTGTGGGCGGTGGTGGTGAGGCCATGGATGCTTATCTGCTGCTGTGCGTGTGATGACGTGAGCTTGCTTTCGCTGGCGCCGGCGCTGACTTACGTCACTGCATCTTACATGCACACACACACACACTAACAAACACACACACACACATACACACAAACACACACAAACACACACATACACATACACACAAACACACACACACACACATACACATACACACAAACACACACACACACACTCTCTCTCTCTCTCTCTCAAACACTCAAACACGCACACGCACACGCACTCTCTTTCACACTTTCACACACACAAACCACATTGAAACAGCTCAACGGCGGGCGAAGATGTACAAGAAGAAGAACTTCAAGCGGCATCATTAATCGTATCTCTGGTGTGCTCGCTATGGTGAATGTGTTGCTGTGTGTGCTGTGGGTGTGAATTCCCCCCCCCCCCCCTCTTCCTCCCCTCCTCGTTCTGTTTCTTGTGGCTTGTTGCTGTGTGGTTGTGCCAAATCAATAACTACCCGCACATATACTGTTGGGTTCATCTGGGCAAGATAGACAAAGGGAGAACACTTTGCACACGCGCCATTTCCACATACACATGCTGGTGTTACCTTGCCCTAGCTGTGGATTGTATTGAGACAAAGGACCACGTCATCGCCCTCGCTCACTTACTCACGCACGCACTTACTCACTCATTTACTCACGCACACATGAAGGACTCCGCATCATCATCCGCACAACGCACAACTTGTTGGGTTGTTTACTCGTGTGAAACGACTCACAGATCTGTAGAAACTACTAAACTTCAGAGGGGCAGCGCAACACTTTGGGAGTCGCACACATACACAAACACACGCATACACGAACATACAAACACACATACAAACACAAACAAACAAACACAAAAACACACATACATACACACATACACGGAATGAAGCGAAGCACGATCCTACTTGCCTCGCGCGCTCAGGAACTTGTCAATGCCGGTGCGTTTGGATGCCGGGGTGGAATACCCCAGAAAGTGCACGACATACGGCTTCTTGCACTTTTGCGGCAACGCGCGGCAGTCCGGGGCGTACTGGAAGAGCCGCAGCGGGAGCTCCACAATGTCGGGGAACTTGGTGTTTGTCTGGACGATAGCCTCGTTCAGGGCTCGCTGGTCGTACGGAGGCGACTTGTACCGCCAAATCTCTTTGCTGAGCGACTTCCATTTGCGCATCACCTCCTGTGTCTGTGGAGTTGGCTTGGCGTAGATGAACCCGGAGTTGAAGTTTGGCTCATCAATGTCGTTACCATAGGGCATGCCGATCGACACCACGTGTGACTCCAAGTACTTGAGCGGGTTGTGGAGGAAGATCACATCAATATCGCTGTAGAGGGCCGTCTGGTTGCGAGCAATCACGTGCCAGACGTACCGCGCCTTGTTTTCCACAGCTTCCTTCCACGCCTTGTTGCCGTACGCGGACTTCTTCCCCGCCGTGCCCGATGCCGTCGTGCCCTTGTCCTCGTTGTAGCCGATGCGCACGCGACCGGGCGCCAGCTCCTCCGCGGCTGCAAGCGTCTCCTTGTCCTGCGCCACAATGACAAAGTCCTCGATCCCCACCGCCTTGATGCGGCGCACCCACGGCTGCAAGAGCCCAATGTAGTCCTTGGACGCCATCGTCACCACAACCGTGGATGCAGACGACACGTCCTCCGAGGGCGGCAGTGCCACGGCGTCGAGCGGCGTCTCTTCTGCCACACAGGCCCTCGGTACAGTGCCCAGGAGTAGCAGCAGTACAGCGCATTGCATTGTGATGGACGGTCTTCGCCGTGCTGTGGTCGCTGGCCGAACAGAGTGGTGCTCACGCATCGCTGCAGATGTTCGTGTGTGCGTTTGAGTGTGCCTTTGAGTGTGTGCGTATGTCTGTGTGTGCGTATGTCTGTGTGTGTGTCTGTGCGTGTGTGCGTATGTGTGTGTGTTTGTGTGTGCGTCTGTGCGTATGTGCGTCTGTGCGTATGTGTGCGTCTGTGCGTATGTGCGTCTGTGCGTCTGTGTCTGTGTCTGTGCGTATGTGTGCGTCTGTGCGTCGTCTTTGTGGTTCTGTCTTTGTAGGTTTCGATCGCGATAAGCTCCTGCTGCTTGGCTGGAGGGGCAAAATGCATCACCAGCCGGCAAAGGCCAATGTCCTATTTATATGACACATTTCCAGTTTGCATCGATATCACCCACACGCTTCCCTCAACACCAAGCAACAACCATGCTCGGTGTGTGCTTGTGTGTGCTTGTGTGCATGTGCTTGTGTGTGCTTGTCTGTGTGTGCTTGTCTGTGTGTGTCTCCGTATGCTTTCTTCTACGTCTCTGCATCTGTATCACTGTGTGTGTCTGTGTCTGTCTCCGTATGCCTTTGCTTCTGCGCCTATCTACATCACTGCGCCCTTGTGTCATTGTGTGTGCGCGTTTGTTCCATCGCCCCTCTTGCCCCTGCTTCCGTGTCCTTATTGCCCCAGCCCCTCGCTCCTGCTTGAAGAACTCACGCTTCCTCCACCCACATGCCGTGTTGCTTGTGCGTAGCTCAACTTAAGTACGCTGTCGGACAAAGCAAGCGCTGGTGAGCTCCTTCGCGCGCAGCACGTGCTTTTGCTTCCCAATGCCTTAATGCCACACACACACACACACGCGCATACACACACGCGCGCACACTCACACATGCCCACACGCATGCTTCTACTCCTGCTTTTTTTTTTTTTTGTTTTGCCCGTTCTCCCTTGGCTGTGTGTTCGCGCTCACCCCCACTGTCTTGGCCACTGTGTTGCACCTCATGACTTGCGCCCAGGGCCCCTTCCCTTGCTGCTTACGGTGCCGTCACCTCCATGGCGATTGTGTACATGACGGACAAGTGGATTGGCCGCCCCGTCCTCGCGTAAGTGCTCCTGTGTCTGTGTCTGTGTGTGTGTCTGTGTCTGTGCCTGTCTGTCTGTGTGTCTGTCTGTCCGTGTGCGTGTCTGTGAGTGAATGGGTGTGCTTGTACGTGCTTGTGCGTGTGTGCGCACGCGCTTTCATCTCTCTGTGCTTGCAGTTGTGCTGATGTTCACTTGTCGTGCTGTAGCACTTTGCCTGTATTCCTTTAACATCCTTTCGACCTTGGATGATGTCCTCACCGAGTCACATGCACATATGCACGCACATACACATATGCACACGCACACACACACACACACGCATATACAGTCGTGTGCCTTGGATCGGCGACCGGTACCAGCTGCCCAAGGAAGAGAACTGAAGGCTCCTTCTTGTGTGAAGTTGTTGTTGCCATGTATCTGTGTTTGAGTTGGTTGCATTGACTTCTGTGCGTGTCGCGCTCAGTTCGTGCTGGTTGTTGTTGTTGCTGTTGTTGTGGCTGTCATCGCCCCTCTGCCGCTGGCGTTGCACTCTTGCAGCGACTATCCACCAACCCCTGATCCCCTTCCCTTCGCTTCCCTGTCCCACTGGCCCCTCCTTCAACATCGCAGATGCGCAATGGGTTGTGATGGGTTGTGATTTGTGGTCTATTGGGCAACAAATGGCAGTATAAGCATCCACGCACACGTACTGTGCACACATATCGCAACTGGCTGCAGACAGCGTGATGCTTGTTGTCGTTAAGACAGACAGACAGACAGACAGAGGGAGACAGACAGAAGGACACCGCGTTCGCACGCACACACACACACACACACACACACACACACTCTCTCTCTCTCTCTCTCTCTCTCTCTCTCTCTCTCCCTCACACACACACACCACACACACACACACACACACACACACACACACACACACACACACACACACACACACGCTCATGCACAATATCAGTTGCTCTTCTTGTTGGAGGACGGTGAAGCCTCAATGGACGGGGTGGGTTGGTTGAGATGATGGCGGTGATGAGAGGTGGCGCCGTCGCCTGGCTGCTGCGTCTTGTTCTGTTGCCCGTCGTCGGCACCGACCAGTTCCGCCATGAAGAACCAATCACCCATGTCTGGACCGGCCTTGCCCATGCCTCGAGTCGCCTGCTGCACCTCCTGCCGCAGCTTAGCCGCATCCACAGACTCGCGCACAAACTCAAACACAAAGCCAGGGTCAAACGTGCGGTACAGCTTGCGCTCTTTGCCCTCCTGGCCCTCGGCCGCCATCTCCTTCGTGTCGAGCTGCAGCCGGTACACGAGGATCTCCCGCATGGCGCTGGCCAGCTCCTTGAACAGCTCAGCGTCCCCGCCGCCGCGCACATCCGGGTGGTGCACCCGAGCCAGGTCGAGGTAGGTAGACTTGATCACGTCCAGGTGGTCTTCGCTTGACACGCCAAGGATGCTGTATGGGTCCTGCTTGCCAGAAGATGACAGGCTCCTTCGCCCTCCAACCGCGAGACCTCCTCGCAGGTAGTGGTGCCTTTGGCGAACACGCAGTGCCGTCGTTGGCGTTGCGGCCGTGAGCTGTGCTCGAACCGGCCGCAGCAGCAGCCTCAACCTCAGTGCCATCATAATGCTTGTGGTGCGCTTGAGCTCAAAGAAATGATTGGGCATCATCACCCGCTCTCCTCTCACCCACATCAATCAATCGCGCCTGATGTTGCAACCATGATCACAGTCAGCGTTTCTTGTGCAGCAGTGACATGATGTGATGTGTGATTCGTTCACCACGCCGTCTGTTTCTCCTGCACATCACCCACGCCTTACTTTCTATGATGTGTGGCCACGCAACTGTCTACTAATGGCACTCATAGCCACACGTACAGACACACCCCAACCAGCACACACGAGGCACGCGACCAAATAGTGACTGACAACAGCACGCACAACAACGAGACAGGACACAGTCAAACCACGCAACCAACCACCTTGAATAGCGTGGACAAGCAAAGGCAAGACAGAGGGAGGGGGACGGGCGGTTGCAAACACACTCGCACAGGACAACCCCCGCTTACACATGTGCAACGAGGTCATGTAATTGACCATAGTCACACATACACAACAAGGAAAATGAAACAGCACAAACACAACACACACGGGAGACTGGCGACAACAACAAAAGGAGTCAACGAACAGCGAGCAAGACGTGCCAACACAGGCAAGCAGACAAGAGGATAAGGGGCATGCATGACACGCGCCAGACGCGGGAAGGACAACAACGCACACACAACCAATGCGACACTACTCAACCAAGACAAGGCTGAGGGGCGCCAGCTTGATCACGCGGCCGCTGCCTGGTCCACACGCACATAGCACGTCCATGGCACACGCAATGCAACCCTTGTCTTGTTTACTTGGCGAGGTAAGACTTGACAAACTCGTCGCAGACCTTGTTCAGCTTCTCCTCTGTTGCCTGGGTCAGCTCACCCTTCTGGGCAATGTCGGTGAGGATCTCCTTGTGGTTGTTCTGCACGTGAGGCAGGAATTTCTGTGTGCACACACAGCAGTCCAAAATGGCACAAGGGTGTAAGGGGGAGGGATGGATGGATGGTGAGCACTGATACGCAACACGCCAAGCAACGCGCACCTACCACCAACAAAACACAAGCAGGACAACAAGACATGTATGCGGCACACATACAGCCACGACGCACATAACAGCGCCGAAACGACAATGGCTAAACCCTCTCCATCCAACAGCACCTACACGCAATAAAGGCAGCGCCAGGGTAACGCACCTGCTCAAAGTCGGTGATCTTGGATGGGTCAATCTCGTCGAGGTAGCCGCGGACACCGCTGAAGAGGACGACAACCTGGTCCTCAAAGGACATGGGCACGTACTGGCCCTGCTTGAGGAGCTCGGTCAGGCGGATACCACGGTTGAGGAGGCGCTGTGTGGCGGCATCGAGGTCGGAACCAAACTGGGCAAAGGCGGCGACCTCACGGTACTGGGCAAGCTCGAGCTTCATCTTACCGGCGACCTGCTTCATGGCCTTGGTCTGGGCAGCGGAACCGACACGGGACACGGAGAGACCGACGTTGATGGCGGGGCGGATACCCTTGTAGAAGAGCTCAGTCTCGAGGAAGATCTGGCCGTCGGTGATGGAGATGACGTTGGTGGGAATGTAGGCGGACACATCACCGGCCTGGGTCTCGATGATGGGGAGGGCAGTGAGGGAACCGGCGCCGGCCTCGTTGCTCATCTTGGCGGCACGCTCAAGGAGGCGGGAGTGGAGGTAGAAGACATCACCGGGGTAGGCCTCGCGACCAGGGGGGCGGCGGAGCAGCAGAGACATCTGGCGGTAGGCAACGGCCTGCTTGGAAAGATCGTCAAAGATGAGCAGGGCGTGCTTCTTGTTGTCGCGGAAGTACTCGCCCATGGTGGCGCCAGTGTATGGGGCAAGGTACTGCAGGGGAGCGGCATCGGAGGCGGTGGCGGAGATGATGATGGAGTACTTGAGGGCATCGGCGCCGCGAAGGCGCTCAACAAGCTGGGCGACGGTGGAACGCTTCTGGCCAACGGCAACGTAGATGCAGTACAGCTTCTTCGACTCGTCGGTGCCGTCGTTGAAGCGCTTCTGGTTGATGATGGAGTCAATGGCGACGGCGGTCTTACCCGTCTGACGATCGCCAATGATCAACTCACGCTGACCACGGCCGACAGGCACGAGCGAGTCGACGGCCTTGATACCCGTCTGCATGGGCTCGCACACAGACTGGCGGGGGATGATACCGGGGGCCTTGATGCCGACACGGGAGCGCGCCATGTCGGAGGGAAGTGGGCCCTGCAAAACAACAACAACAACAACAACAACAACAACAACAACAACAGAACAAGAAAAAGAATATGGTGGATGGATGGATGGATGGATGGATTGGTTGATGTGTCGTGAGTGGGCGACGTTGAGGGGGATTTGGGGGGGGGGTTGCGAGTGGAGGAGCAGCAGTCGTGACAGGCAAAACGGAGCGTGTACTATCAGGTGAGGAAGACAAGAACACATTCAACACACACAAACATCTACACAACGAAACAAGCACTCGTGTGCACCCAGCACAAA